AATAAATAAAATAATAAATAAATAAATAATAATAAAAGCAAGCATCACGCTAGAAAGAGCTACAATTTAAGTTAGGTGACTCCCAACCCATTTATGTGCAAAACGGCAAATTCAGCCTCCCACCCAAAATGGAAACTATGACAGAGCCATAAAGCAATTTTACCTACTCAGTAAAGCAAAATGCCTTTTATTGCACCCCCCCCCCTCCCCTCCAAACCCACCATATTTTCTTGTTATAAATTCAGGGGGGGGGAGAGATACTGGCATCAATACTGGCAGAGAATGCTTCTTTTAAATTCACTTTACGAAAAAATAATCAAGCATTAAAATTTGCTGCAAGACATCACTTAAACATAAAGAATACAGTGTGTAAAGCTGAAGTTTCTAAAACTAAAGATGAGGGGTTTTAAAGCACTAGGAACCAAGTAGTGTTGTGATCATCCATAACTTTAGCAAAGTTACTATGTGTAATGATATTGAAGTCAGACCTAAATTAGTTAATTACTTCTAATTATTATTTATTTATTTATTTATTTATTTATTTTCTGGTCTTGGTTGGTTTTAATAAGTGTAACTAAAATATTACTATCTTGTTCTTAAATTTTGTGATAAAAAAGTTTTGTCACCAAATAATCATATGCTGGGGCATATTTCACAAAAGATCTTTTGACTAAAAGCTTGTCTAAAATTTCAGACCCTTATCTTCCACTGTCAATCAAATCAGTGGTGGTCCACTTAAACTTATAATTGGCTTTTTTTCATTCTTACTATAGACTTGTTACATAGTCTCTTAGTCCAGGATAGCACTGTTTTAACAAAATAAAAAGGGAAAGAAAAAGCTATAACTGCTTTAGACTCTAGTCACTTTATTTTAGCTGACTACTGCATATTTACACCTGGACTGAAGAAAAATTGAAATCTAAAAGTTAGGACTTACTTTCAGTCTAAAATATTTTTAATTTGTGGAACCAGCCCCAAATATAACTTAATGTTGTTAACAAATTACAATGTCCTAGAACTATTTGTGTTATATAGGTGCATTACACAAGCTTTCAACTACAATAACATAATTAAAAGAATAAAAAAACCATGCCACAGCCATGCAACATGTAACTCTAGGGTAACATGTAATATTATTGAAAATCATGACATGGTTACACAGGGGTGAAACTGGATCGAAATAAAATCTGAGATTTGGGAATTCCTAAGTTGTTTAATACTTAATTCTGTGCAAATGTGACTTCACATGTACGCATGCTTCTGCGTGTGCCTGCTTGTACATGCTCTATGCATACATGCCAGTACATGAGATGAGATAAAACACACTGCTATCATGATACCCTGTATCAGTCTGTGCCACAAAATTTTTGGGCTACTAGCCCTTTTGGCAAATCAAGGTCTTAAAATGGGCTAGTGGTATAGTATAAAATGTCAATTTTCACTAGCCCAGTGTCTCCTCAGACTAATTCCTAATGGCAAAGGCTGCTCTGGCAGTGCAGAAGCATCTCATGCATACTAGCTGATGCAGAACCCTGTATTTCTCTCTCTCTCTCTCTCTCTCTCTCTCTCTCTCTCTCTCTCTCTCACACACACACACACACACACACACACACACACACACACACACACAATACTACCTATGTGACACAGAAAACAGAACATACCTGGTCCTGATCCTGTATTTGCTGCTGGGCAAACTGACCAGGGTTGTAGAACTTTAATGTAAAAAAAAACTTTGATTCAACAGTATTTCACTGAGGTAATACGGGTATTTCACTGTGTCTAGTTTAATGAAATTAGAAATGTCAAGAGTCATAATAAATGAAAATAGCTAAGGGGTAGGGTGGGGTGGGGATGAATTTACAATGTCCCACAGACTTGTTGGGTTGGCTGTTCAAATTTGAAAGGAATCAAGGATAAACATCTTACTTGTGACTGAGGTGGCTGTTGCTGCTGCTGTTGTTGGTATGGATCCTGAAACTGTTGTTGTTGTTGTTGGTCCTGTTGTTGATGCTGCTGTTGATCAGTGTTTTGCTGTTGTTGATCAACACCTTCAGCCTGTGCATCACTGCCTTCTGGAGCTGAAGACAACATTTTATAAATTTAGAACTCCATAGGAAAATGGCATAGGCTGTGGAATAATTGATTTCAAAAATATTGAATGATTATTAAAAGCAATACTGAGGGTCCTTCTATAAAGAAAAATCAAAACAAAGGTTGAATAGTTGCAAAGACCATACTTGATCGCATGTGTGTGTGTGTGTGTGTGTGTGTGTGTGTGCATGCCAGGTGCATGCATGTGTGTGTGTGTGTGTATGTGTGCATGCAAGGTGCGTGCGTGTGTGTGCCTGCATGTGTGTGTGTGTGTGTGTGTGTTGCTGGCACATCACTGACCTGGAGGAGGTATAAAGAGGTTGGCAGGCAGGGCAGATGGTGCTGGCATCATGGGCAGTAGATTTGGAGGGGGTCCAGCAGCAGAGGCACTGGTCGGATTCATTACATCAACATACTGGTTCCTGGCACCTGGGAAGAGACAACACACAGTAAAATCGTTAAAAGTTAATAATTTCTAAATTTCAAACACCGTTCTTTTTCTAATATTTTACCTTTTCAAGATTTCTAATTTTCAGACACTCATAACTATGTACTTATGAGAAAAAATAAAACAACTTTTCAAAGGTAGTGGTTAATTGCTAAAAGCTCTCAAAAAAATTAGTCAACACCATTAGTTTCAATTATACTCTGAAATACAAAAATCAATTTATTTAACAAGATTTCAGTGTATTTTAAGTTAATTAAGGAAACCAAAGAGACCTCTCTAGTTTTCAATACCATTGTGCATCTAGATCCTCAGACATTTTCTCAATTTTCTAGTCTGTATTCCCTTACCTCTAGCTTTTGGCCGTGAGAACTTGTTCCCAGCAGGTGGGGGTGGGGCTGTCATGTCTGTACCTGCACCTGTGCTGCCCCCTGGTGGAGCCATAGCTGGAGCAGGCTTGGCACCACCTAGAATGCAGAATATGTCAGGAATTTTTTCAACAACATTACAAGTTATAATAATAATTTTTTTTTACTTCACATGTCACTTATCAGAGCCTTTTTGTTTTTGCAACAATTTATAATAAAAAAAATATTTTTTTACTTCATATGTCACTTATCAGAGCCTTTTTTTTATTATCATAGTTGCCTGGCAAGAAAATGAATTGTTCCATTATTTTTTCATAATCTGACATCTTGCAAAAGGTCAATGGCTTAATAAATGTACTGTCTACAACTCTGGCATTTTTGTCAGTCCATCACAGCCCAATAATCAAAAGAAAGGATCTATTGTAAAGCCTGTATAACAGATAAGAAATGCAAACAAATCTCCACTTACCCATAAGGTCAGTATCCTTTGGCGGTGGTGCCGCAGTCGTCTCCTCCTCTTCTCCATCCGTGTTCACCCAGCGGTTTTTGACTGGGTCCCACACAATCTGAAATATAATAAACACGTTGCCCGTCACCATTACAACACAATATAAACACAACTAGAGGAGCAGAGAGCCTCAGCTGCCTCCTAGGTATGTACCACCAGCTGATTTAATCACATCAATGGGATATAAACACACACTTTTCAAAGTAAACAAATTAAAAGAAAGATTTAAATTTCAGTAAAATTTAGTTGCCACACTAATGAAAATGCACTATTCTACTCTTAACTCAAAGTAACCAAGACAAGGTAGAGTGGTGGAAAAGAAGAAAGCAGGATGAATACATAGAATAAAACAAAATACTTACAGAAGGGTTACTATCATCCGGCAATTTCATCTCATTTTTTCCCTTAGGCCATCTGAAAATTCCACTTAACCAGCCCCCCTGCAAAAAAAAATTTCACAAATACAAAAATATACAACTCTGCAGAAACAGCCCTGCAAAGAAGTTACTGACAGTGCAATTATCAGTAACACATAAAATTTTTAGATGGTAATATGAAAAAAAAAAAAAAAAGGTTCAAAGTCAGGAAGTACATTTTTTTTTTGCATCTAAAAATGATAAATTACGAAAAAGTAAAATATGTAGAAAAAAACGTTTATGTTATTATGGTACCTTTTTGGCTCCAGTATCTTTCTTCTTTTCTTCCTTCATTGGAGGTGGTGCTGCTGGCTTTTCTTCAGCTGACTCTTGCCGAACTGGCTGCTGCTTTAAGGAGAAAAGCATTTACTATAACTTTCTAAAATACAATTTTGTCCCTAGGATTTTTGAAAGTGGAGATTTCTCTGCTGAAAATGAGACAAAAATGTGAAATATAAAGCATAATTATTATGGTATGATATACATAATTATTTGTGATTTACTTGAAAACATTAGTGACGTGATATATGTTACATAATTACATGGCAATATTAGGGTGTATCATGTTGAATACTGTTATACACATTTCCTTGTTATTAGTAAGTTTAGTTTCGCAATAAACTACTTTGCTAAAAAACACAGCATACATTTAACTAAGCTCTTTCCAATTTAATTATCTTAATTCACTAGTCAGAATGAGAAAACAGCCCCAAAATGCATTTATAAATATTAGAACAGGCAATCATGCAACAAACTTTCTCCTGGTTATTAAGGAGTTTTATATAGACTCGAGCTGAAATAAAGATTGAGCTGTTATTAAAAGCTATAGCGGTTACTTACAAGGGAAGTAGAAATTTCTAGTTCTAACAGATCTCGAGAAACCTGTCCCAAGATCAAGGGGAAAACATCTATTACATTACATTACATTACATTACACACGAAAGATTAATAAACATTAATCTCAATTAAAAAGGCAGTGTTATGAATATGCATACAAAGTTGTAAAGCATTGATCCAACACTGAGAGTTAAAGAGGAGATGGTCTAGTGGTAAAAAATCTGTCACTGAACTGTAAAGAAGGACAGAGATTTTTTTCTCTATCCCACATCTTGAACTGGGGCTCTTCAGCAGATACCCAATTGTCTGACCTGCCAGATGACAAGTCTTTCAGGTCACTGACCCTCATTTCTCTGTGAAATATAGGTGGCGCTCATTGCAATGTTGGATCAAAGCTTTATCACTCACAAGATTTATTTATTCTTCCTTATGTGATAGTGCACTACGGGTTGAATCAGAACATTCAATCTCTCAGTGTGCTATATAGTTTGAGACACAGATTGCATGCAGAGAGATTACTTACTACAGCATGTTAAATGTAAGTTGCAGGCATAATCATTAGCAATGGGAATCATCTGAGATAGACCAAAGCCTTATGACTTTGCACTAAATCAAGTGCGATTTTGTCAGACTTGTGGAGGAGAGCAGAGTCCAAAATATTGGCCTAAAGTTGATCCCACCTCATTCTGATCCTCGTACAATTTCTAGTCCCATATCATGTAGTGCTGACAACCTCATTTCCAAGGTTTTCTCAGATGATTTCCATTACATGTCAGAAAGAGGCTATATGACAGATTTATCATGCTGTAATACATCAACACACAGTGACCTCAAATCAAGCTCATCTTCATGAAATCAGGGCATAACCAGGATAACTTCAAGCAGGCATGGATTTCAGTCTTAAGACCCGATACATTGGGTCAATTTTCTATTTAAAAAAATGTATATAAATCAGAAGCATAATCAATCTATAATTTCTTCAATCAGCAGCATCAATTGAACATTCAGATCTAAACCTCATTACCTAGAAAAGATTACAAAACAGACATTGAAATATTGGACAGCAAATACAAATTTTTGCTGCTGATTGAAGAAATTTACAAAGTTCCTGCGTAACAGCTGATTAATTTTTTACAGATTCATGCTAGTAGATTTGAAGCACACTGTGTTCAAAGATTGCGAAAAAAGTTCGAAAAAATCAAGTGCGGGTCACAAGGTGCAGGGCTGCAATTTGGGCAACAATTATTCATTAATCAATTCAGACCTGAAAACTAGATCTGCGGATAGTGCTGGCATTACTATTGGTGCTCGTGGTACGCACTCGTTGCGACGTCGCGTTCCCAAGGTTGCTGACATTATTATGGGGCCTGAATATCACTGAACCCGTGCTGCTGCCGCTTACTGTGCGTGTCCGTGTGGCTTGTGCGGCATTTTCTACAACTTGATCTGCTGCCTATAAAAAGTGGATCGAAACTGTGTGTTCAGTGACAGTGCCCTCATGCATGCAAACCATGCAATATAAAGCTCATGCTTTTTAAAATAAATACAATAATTTGACACAAAATAGCTGCTGCACAGCTGGGGAAAAAGAAAAATCACAAAGACCCTGGAAAATTTACTGAAGCTGAAATCATTCCAGTTTAAAGAGCTGAAAATGCACCTGGTCCAAAAATCAAAGTCAAAACATTGAAAGCATCTTCACAATATCAAGCATACACATACCCTGCCCAGCAATCAATCACATAACTGAAACTGAAAATTTATTTCCATAGTCTTCTGCAATAGAATAATGTTTTTGGCACTATAAACAAACATTGGTACTCACAGACTATGACTTCCAGCATCACAAGTATACAGACAACTTAGAAGATGATCCAACCATGAAGAATCACAAACACAAGACCATGAGCAACATCAACCATTAAATAAAATACAGCACAAACTTTAACCAATCTACAAAAATGCACTCTATCACAATGCCACATCAAACTATGGAAAGACACCACGAAGATTTAACCATCCAAACAAAAGCCATGCTCTAATGAATCTGTGATACACTCATAATACACATTTTAGCTCAAACACAGGGATGAGGTAGAGTCAGTTCAGTGAAGATGTTGAAGGAGATGAAGAAGACAAATATTATAATAAACCTGTTTCTGTGGAAACCATGCCATACTTTGAGCAGTGGCCATAGCTGCACTTAGCCGTCTCTGAGATCAGGTATTCATTGGACAAGTATACAATGTCTCCATGGTGCTTAGCATTTCCTTATCTCCATGGTAACTGTACTGTGCAGTGCAATATCTCCATGGTACTTGTTATCATCCCCATTTTGGTCTCCATGGAAACTGTTACTATGCCACAGCAAAGTGCTTAGATTCAGAAATGCCACAAATGCTGCTTACAATGAGTGACAGTTTGTGGTGAAAATCATGCAATCAATATCAACCAACATAAAATACAAGAAAAACAAGAAATAAATCTAGGCAAGTAAAAAAAACACAGCATATTATCACTCTTAAAGTTTACTGCACCTGATCGAGTGAACTAAATGGCACAGAAGTGCCACCTACAGTGCTGCTAGGACTGTACTGGAGAGAGGTGCCATCTATACTACTGCTACCACTGCACTGGACAGGGGTGCTACTGTTAGTTCTGTATTGGCTGGGAGTGCCCTCTACAGTCTTGTTAGCAGAACACTTGACAGGGGAGCTATCACAGTACAAATGGTTGGTGTGTTGTTCTAAGCTAGGTGCATTCACATATGGATTGGCATTACTGTGACCAGGTCCTTGTGGAGTACATAAAGGACTTGCCTGATGACCACCGGTGTTGTGAGTGGTCAGCTGATGAGCAGGGCTACTCCTGGCATGATTCATCACCCAGGATACCATGGACTGGACAGCACCTTGTCCACCACTGTGACCAGTGGTTTCTGGCACTGGGGTGCCTCTCTGACTCCCCCCTGGGGTACTGTGGATGGGGGTGAAAGTCCCCGGGGGTTTCTGCCCACCACTGCCCAGTCCAGCTTGTGCCACACCCATATTACCCATTAACAGCGACTCACTACTCCCCAATGGCATGTCTATACAACTGTCCCTTCTATGTTGCTGTTGTTGAATCGCCTTGAACTCCAGAGGGGTGGCATTTTGTGATGCACGAAAATAAGACTGAATCCCCTTGGTCGGGGTGCTCTTGGCGTCCGCCCCCGGGGTGCCACGCTGGCTCCCTTGTGGGGTAATGGTGTGCTCTGCGCTCAACCCACTGCCTACCGTGGACTGCGAGTCTCTCTTTTGTCTGTTAGATATGAACTGACCAGACAACTGACCAGAAAACTGACCGGTACCTTCACCCACCTGACCTCCATGCTGCATGCAAAATTAACAGGCAAAAAAATACATACAGCACAATGTACATTTTCACATCTGGTCTTCAACATGTTACTTATATATTTTTGGAAACTCAAGAAAAGAATATAACTGAATCAGAAAATTTGTGCCAGTGGTTACAGAAATCTTGGAAAAATCTGAACTCATAAGAAAAACTATGAAATGTAAAATATGAGGAAAGAAAAATTTGAGGAAGACAGAGATGAAGATGGCAGGTACTCAAACAACTCACACATACAGGAATAAGGATGATCTTTGACAATGATGCCAAATTAAATCAAATTAAGGAGACCATGAAGTTTTCACATAGTAATAATCACCAGAAAATAACATAAGCATAACCAGTAATAAAAATAAAACACAGTTCTGAAAAAAAGTTAATGCACAGAAATATTTCTGAAAAAAAGCAATAAACATAAGAACAAACCCATGCGCTGTGAACAGCCATAACCAAAGTTAGCAGCAAAAACATGTTGGCAGAGTAACAATTGTTACATAAACAACAAACAAAGATCATCACATTATTAACTTGGTAACTGTTAAAGCTTTATGAGGACAGGTACTTAGTTTTAACTTCTTTTATTATTTATGTTTATGAATAATAATTTCAACTTCAGAACTTTGAAAACTGAGAAGTCGACAACCGTGATTCTAATAATCCAAAATGAATTTGTCATTAAACAGAGTGGTGGTTAATTTTTTTTTAAAGAAAAAAACATAAATCAGAATGACTATTTTGAGGGATGAAAAAAAGAATGGAAAGTTCAATACTAGCTGAATGTAATTATACCTGCTGTGCGGTATTCATGTCATAGTAATCAAATGTCGTCGTTGCCGCACTCTGTGCGAACGGCGAATCAGGGTCGTCTGTGCTTCCTGTAGATGTCACTGTTGTTGTTGTATAGTTTGAGCCATAGCTTTCCGCTAAGTTCAGGTCGTGGCCACCAAATGGCTTGAACTCTCCCGTCTGATCATGACTGTCTTGGCTCTGATTGACATCTAGAAGAGAAATAATACATTGAATTGTTCATCAATTAATGAATGAATATATATATACATAACCTTTAAATTTATAAAATGTAATATCAACCAAAGCACTTACAAAAGTGAAAATATACATCAGATTACTATTCTAGTTGATAATCTTGAATTTGTACTTCAAATAAGCCTCATTTTCATATCTTTTTTAACCTGAGACAGAAACAAAATTTCCCAATGTATTTGTCCTTTTTATAAACTATAACATATATACACATTGGGTGAATAAACTTTACACTGTAATCTTCACATTACCTTGTATCTGATGTGTGCTATCATATCCCTGAAACCCTGCCTGCGGGTTGTAGAACTGGTAGTCCCCCTGCTGCTGTTGTTGTTGTTGAAGCTGACCATCCTCTGGCTGCTGGTAATAACCTAAAGTTCAACAAAGTCATGCTAAATTGGGCTGACCTCCTCAGAAATTGAACACATTGTCAAACCCTATTAGCTAAATGACATGTCCCTGAAAGCTTATTCACTACTGTTCAAACATATAATAGGTCTCTTATTAGTGTTTTCTTAGTAATACCTTGAAGTTTCATATCAAATCACTGTAAAGATCTTTAAGAAATAAATAATCTCTCATAATGATGCAGCTAAGCAAATCTGCTAAAAGATGTAATGTCTAATCCAAGCTTTCTGCCCCTAGGTATTTTTTTCAAATCCCTAAAGAAGGCCTATGGGGCTGAAAGCTTGGATCAGACCTAACATCTTTATAGAAGATCTTCGTAGATGCATCATTCTAATAACTTTTTTTATCTAGTAATACCTTGATACTGCTGGGTATCGTATCCCTGCAGCTGCTGCTGAGCATCCACGTTATCTATCCCCTGGTACATAGACTGCTGCTGTTGCTGCCAGGAGGTCTGATAATGAGTTATAGATGAGTCCTGGTTGAACCCCTCGGCGTCCTCACTGCCAGCACTGGATAGGAACCCTGCGGGGGTGTCAGCTCCACTGAGGTACTGGATACTGCCATCCTGAAGACAGAGAACCACACAATATTAATTTGATGAACCCCAGCAAGGAAGATCATGAGCTGTGTTATGCACAAGTTACAATAACAGGGTCTCAAATATATAGAAGTCAAATACTGGCACCTTGGTGCTCAAAAAAATTATTTAAGGTGGCAAAATAAATAAATAAATAAATAAATAAATAAATAAATAATCACCTGGAAAGCCTGCATGATCTTTGGCATAGCTTTGAGCCAGTAAGGATCATCAAACTCTCCATCAGCTGAGTGGATGGTCTGAGGGTCGTGGTACTTCAATCGGCTGCCAAGCTACAATTAGAATCATACACATGAAATAACTGATGTGCAACAGGGTTGAGGTCTAGCCAAGAATTTTTAGGCCTAACTTAGGTGGGTAACAGACAGCTCTAATATTATAATTCTTTCTCACAGAAAACTTTAATGAAAAAGTAGACTTTATGACATAAAAAACTTTTATTATAATTACTGTTGGTCCACAATAAATGTCATTTCAAGGCAGACTATTCTCACCATTAAGAATAAAATTCTTCACAAACTCTCTAAAGACCTAAATAAAAGGCTAACAAAAATTCAACTTGGGGTATTTTGGCAGTCTTTGCTAAGAGTAAAAGTTCCCCAAGTAGTTTTGTGAAACAAGGTTCAATATGACAGCATCCACAGATCCAATTCTTCTCTTAAACTGTTTGCTAAACTATTGTGGTGATCAATAAGTAATACTACCGTGACGTACTTCATACAGCTGTTTGACCAATACAGGGGAGTATGCACCAGGTGCCTGCTGGATTGTACTAGAGATCACCTCACAGTACGTCAACGCCTACAAGATAATATTATATTATGTAAATAATACACTATATGTTAAGATGCTGGACAAGCACACTCAAGTACAATCATTTATCATTTTCAAATATGCAAAACTGCACCACAGTGTGTCAACTTCCAATTAGCTTTTCAAAATATTTTTTATGAATCAATAATATATATGACATTGTTTTTTTTTTGTTTTTTTTTTAAGTTGAGATATTTTAATCTTTAAACCTGTTATTTAATTTGGAAAGCCTCGTCTTTGTGATTTAGGGAAAAGCTTTGAAGTTATCACATTTTATTATCATAATTACCATATGCTTTTAAGTCATGTAAGTCACATTGTATGCCTTAATATAAAACATTCACCTCTTCAGAGTAGCCAAGCTCGGCCAGTCTGCATGCATACATGAACTTATATGGCTGGAAGGTAGGTATGGCAGTGTATGGACTCCCCAGGGACTGGGCATACTCATAGATCTCTGTACACTGGATAGCCAGGTTGACAGCAAACTCATCAAGAGACAGACTGAAAGTGAGAAAATAAGTCCAGTTGAAGAAAGATGGATTTAGTAAGGCATAGAAATAGGCAATGCTAATAAATCACTGTGGTAAGGGAATTAAAATTATACTGTTTTTCTGTTTTGTGTGATTTATCAAATAAAAAGTTGTTTTACAATGACTTCTATGTCTTAGTCTCCAAAACATGCTGACCTTGACAGGGGTCTAACCTTCACCTTGACCTAATATTCAGATCTGTATCTTACTTGTGATTTGATCCAATCAGCACAATCTTGGAAGTCTTCCTCTCAAAGGTTCCAAACTTCACCTGTGCCATCAGGTAGCAGAAATGACTAGCATGGAGATAGCCACGAGAAGCTGAAAAATATTACAAGAGAAATTCACATGCCCTAACTGATTCAGCAATTATTTTAATTATTCTACCCAAGTGAAAATACAATCTTATTTTTTTTTTATTTCATGTGAAAGTTGAGGAAAATGTTCCACTGGCGAGTCAGTCATGAGATCTTTTGATGAAGTGTCAAAATGTCTTGCCTTTAAGGCAAAATAAAAAAAAAAAATCATGTTAAGTTTCTTTAGATATAAAAATATCATGCCTTAAACAAATTTAAGACACATTACACACATAAGTACAGTTATGTGACCTACCTAAGCTGTCCCCTAATGTTGATATACTCTTCCTGTCTAGTTCAGGCTTTGGAGTGGTGTTAGACAATATCATAGCTAAGTGAGGTCTCCAGTCTCCCCAGCCTTCCTCTGAGATACACTGAAAACAATAATTACAATAATGCTCGGTACAAAAAAAAAATCATATTGTTTTAAGTATGGACTACAAACCCCCCACCCTTCCTCCGAGATCCATTCAAAACAATATCTGAAATAATAAATACCTAATTTAACAATCGACTGATAACAGCAAACAATATAATTGTTCCCAGTTCTACCAAATTCCTCATCTGAGAAACACGGACAACAATACATAACCATATTTTTCACTAAACAAATACTACACCGTCATTGACTAAATTTGTGACAAAAAAATGATGCACTTAAAACTAGCGAAGTATTGTGCATGATTGGAAACAATTACAGACTAAAGCTGTGGTTGATATGTCCAAACATCAGAAAAGTGACTATCACCATGGTGAAGTACAATATAAACAAATCTGTATCAAAACTGTAACAAATCTGTCAAGTATTTTTCATAATATTTCAAACCCTAGTTGATTTACTTACAGTAACAGCAGCTGGCTGTCTACCAGACAATAACTGATACATGGTCTGGAGGGGATCATTCATCTTCATGGCACTGTTTGCAAATCTGAAAATATTCAAGTAAATAAAATAATAACAAAAATAAAAGTTTAGTACTTCTTCTAAGAAAAACAGTGTAGTTTGTCATTATCAAAATACTGTAGATCTAATTATTTTCCAATTCAAATGAAAACACATTTAGTCCCATTACTGAAACAAAATGAATGTCAAAATCACAATTCAAATTAAGAAGACTAGCAATTAAATACCACATGAATATGTTACAGTAAACAAGTATTAACCACAAAATATTTTTGGCTCAAAGTTGACCATTATGCCATGGCGCCCAGGACTGACCTTGTCATGACATTGGCATATGTCCTATTGTCCATCTTGCTGGCAAGGAACAAAGCATGGCCCCACAGTTGATTTTTCATTGCACATTCCAGGGCATCCTGTACACATGATATTGAAATTTATCAAATAAACTGAGCATTAAAAATGAGTCAATTTGACTAAATCATCACTAAATTTTAACTCAAGGTTGAACTTTCTGGATCATAAAGCTGAAAGATCCATACATTTATAATGGGAATTATATCTCAAACCCAAACTTAACTCATTCAGTACAAATTAATATCAAAAAATACTTACTGACACAAATACTCATGGCAGTACAAATAATGCCTTTAGAAATTTAAACTAACAGCACACAAAGACTGAAAACCTACAATAAGGCAGTTCAATTCCAATCATTATTTAATGTAATTATAATTATTAATAATAATTGATAACCTCCTTGGAAGAGGCAAGAACCGTACCTTCTTTCTTCCAAACAGCAACAAATGTCTAAACCTATCAACACTCTCGTCTCGTAGCAACCCTCGTTTGTTCACAAATGACCTGTCACTCGTCACAGACGTGTTATTGAGGTCGTCGCCAGTGGCAACAGAATCTTGCTGAACACTGTCCGTCTCCTCTTCCAAGGCATCCAACTCCATTGCACTAGACACTATCTTCATTCCCATACGGTTGTACTCGCGCGTCGTTGGCTCGTGGCCCTCTAGGAGAAGTTCTGAAACATCTGTGCCCACCACAGTCTGGAATTTTAAAAAAATTTAAATTTGAGAACTTCAATTTTTTTTAATAAACTACCCCCCTGTTAATGAACATATCTCACACAGATCTTTAAGTACATCACCAGATCCTGCACCACTGTATCCCAGAGAATGCTACTTCCAATTTAGTTTTTTTTTTAATTTTATTTTGATTTTATTAAATCACACATCAATTTTTCTTATTAATCCTCTAAATATTGCTTAACAATGTCCTTACTTCTGTTCTAATTTTTCAGCAATCAGATTTTCCCTTTTCACATAAAGTGGTATTCCTAACTGAAGCAGTCAACTTTGAAAGCTCCTAACAAATTACCATACAGGGGGATTTGAACCGTGTCACAAGTTCTTCACAAATTCACTTCCTACTGAATGTTAATTAATGGACCTAGTTGAGCATGCAGGCTCTATTGAGGTGACCCTCTCACACAATTCTCAATCTCTCAAACTGGACTAGTCCAGTTAAGTACAATACCACAAGACGTGAAAAGGGAAATAGCAAACTAGACCTTTTAGGTCCAGAAGTAAAAGTGGCCAAACTTACCCCATTCTGTTTGATAAGCAGAACTAAGAACTTCCAGAGCAGTTCTGCGCTCTCCCTGTCTATCATGTTCACGTTTTCCCTGCACTCCTTGGCCTTGTGCATGCAGAATGCTATCACATCATTCTTATGGGTCTGGCCCCTGGAAAAATAAGGAAATTGTATTTAAACAAATAACCAAATTTAACATAGCTTTTGAAAAATATAACATAATCAAATATTTTATTTGTTAAAAATTTTTAATAAGTGTGCTTCAGGTAATGTTAATTTCTGTTAATCTGTCACAACAGAGGTACAAAACCTATAACCTGTTACTGTAACATAGAGAATTCTTTATAAATCCTCTTATCAAAAGAGCATTTTATCCATGATTCAATTCCATCTTACTTTATCAACGGTCCAGGGAATATTCGTAATTCCTCTGCCTCGTCAGACTCGGGTATCACAGATTCCAAATCGCTGATGTGGACCATGGCAGGCTCCCCACTGGATGGACAGTTGGGCAGCACCTTGACCAGATGACCACAAGCACTGAAGGTGGCACGTACGTGGGGGATGGAGAACTTGACGGGAGTCATGCGGGCAGGTTCCTTGGGTTCCAGAGACTCAGATGCTGTGCAGAGAAAAGAAAGAACTCAATTTACTATGATCTTTCAGTGGGTCAGTTTGACTTTGCTTGAAACTCATTAAAAGATATCATACTGGTTAAATGACTACACTGTTCTATGCTCCTACTGTTTTACATTGCTAACTAGGAAAGCTGATCTGACCACCATCAATGCAGCTCAATTCTCATTATCAATTAATTTATCAATTAAGCATTTACCACCAAAATACAACATATTCTTAGTTTGCTAATTCTGTACCTTGAGACACTTATATATTGTTGAAAATTCAATCAAAATCCATGCACAATTTTCTGAATAAGGTTGACAAACCAACAAAGGCAAAAACAACCTGTATGGCTAGGGTAATAACATCACTCATCAAAGAGCCTAAATCACATGACTTACCCATCAATGAGAACTGTAGATTAAGGATAAAAACAAATGCCTAATGGACCAAATACACCTTAAGTCTTTGGAAAAAAAATACCCTTTTCAGTATCATCATTCAAGAGATAATGAAAATCCTATTTCACCACAAGCACAATTTCAAGGGAACTCGTGTTTATACACAATAATAGTGTATGTGAACTCCTCTTACCCTGCCCCTCCTGGCCAGCTCCTGCCTGTGACTGCTGACTGTATGATGTATCACCATAGTAATACTGGTTATAGTAGTCTGCATAGGATTGGTTGTGAGGGTCGCTATAGTAACCAGCATAAGGATCTCTGGGGAAATACAAGGATATTGTGTCATAATAATAATAATAATGATTATATTTGTAACTGCTTGCAAATCACCCAAAAAATTTGAATGAAAATATAGAGGTTTAAATACTTTGGATTCAATACATGATTTTAAATAATAAAAATTGTACTACGCACTAACATATCCAATCCAAGGCTTTCATTACCCCAAACTGATATATGAATATGCTATTCACAGTAATATGAGCCTTGTTTCACACTAACTCTATTCCTGGAATATGACTCTTGAAGCCAGGCTGACTGCCTAGCAATATTAGTACTGTTTAATACTTACTCCATTCCTGGAGTTTGACTCCTGGAGCCAGGCTGACTGCCACGTCCACTATAGTCATAGTTGTATCCATACTGCTGGCTTCCACTGTACTGTCTGGCATAGTAATCTCTATACCTGAAATACATACATATTAAATTTTTTTTATATTTTCTGGATAAGAAAAAAAATTAGGGATTTTTAAAGCTGGTCAACATAGTTTTCTACCCAACTTCCTATTGATCCCTTCAAAGGAGTAACTTTACTTTTGCATACATATATGGTAGGACTTTATTAGTATTATACAATCAGTCAAAATTTCTATCCAAGTTTTTTTCTTTAAACTCCTGCCACAGACAGTATTTGGCCAAAGTAGTCCAAGAGGCATAAAAGGGCGAGAGTGGGAGAGAAGGAGAGAGAGAAACTTCTACCTGTCATCATATGGCTGCTGTCCCTGTAACTTCATCTCCTCTGCATACCCCTTGCTATAGGAGTCCCTCTGTCGACCATAGTAATAGCTATTGTAATAGTCCTCAGCACTGCCATAGCCATAGTACTTCTTGTAGTAGTCATAATATTCTGGAATATAAAATAGACAGTGAGAAACTCTGCTTTCCACAGCAATATTTGTTGTACAATTCTTGATCACTACCGTTATGCTAATGCTTTTTTTCAGTATCTCACCATTTTAAAAAGCACAATGATATTTAACTTCATTGTTAATAAACTGTTCAACACAACAACCTGCATAGATTTACTTCCACATTTCTTTTAAAACATGGCAGCTGTTTTTGTTACAAAGCAAGCCTGAAGAACTCTCATTCCTAGACCCTCTCAGTGAGGCCAGCATAGTTTCACTACCTGGGCTGAGATGGGGCCCAGGGGAGACCCCAATTCTGGCACACATGGGGCAAGAAAATTACTGATACGTTAGTAGTGCTAAGTCTCATAATTACACAGTGACACTGAGTGAGAAAGGGTGGCAAAAATCATTGTAAGGTATAGCTATAGTGTAGAAAGTGAAGAGTTAACACTTATGACCATTAACAACAGACTACACATATGAATTTCCATCAGAAGCTCTGACATTGTGATACCTACAAACCATTTTCAACAGGGAAATGATGAGTATCAATGACCCGACAAGTCTTAGGTGGTATCACACTTTTGTATTAATCAGAACATTCCCTCTTAGTATATTCTATGTTGTCAACCTACCTTTACTATATCTCGGATCACTATAGTATGGATCTCTTCTGTCTGAATAGTAATCCCTGTCTCTCCTACGCCCATCGTCATTCCTTGAACTAGGTTGGTACCTTCCCCTATCTCTGTCATAGTCATTTCTAGACCTGGGGCGATCTCTATCATAATCAGTTCTAGAACTTGGTCTATCTCGATCATAATCGGCCCTGGATCGTGGTCGATCTCTATCATAATCAGTCCTAGATCGAGGCCTATCTCTGTCATAGTCAGTCCTAGATTGGGGTCTATCCCTGTCGTAATCGGTCCTTGATCGAGGCCTGTCTCTGTCGTAATCATCTCTGTATCTTGGTCGATCTCTATCATAATCATTTCTGGATCTTGGTCTGTCACGATCTTCTGAAAATTCGAGGGGTGACACGTTTGTCAGAGGATTCGCTTTCTTAAAAGCAAAAAATCAAATTCTCCACCACATTGATCAGACAACATTTATTTAACTACTCACTTCATCTCTTGTAGGTGATAAGCAATTGGTAAATAAAATGTTAATTTCTATGATATCATTTATCTAACTTTCTTTTGGATAACTCCCAGTTTTAGACTAGCTGAAATCGACCAACAACCACATGAAGCAATCAACAGTGTTTGACCATCTTTGAAATTATTCACCAATTGGCAATAAAAGCTACAAGTAACTGCATATTACTTTTTCACATTTGGTTCACCTCATAACAAATCTTTAACTTTTCGCTCTCAACTTATTCTTTCATACTCACCAGGTCTACTCCCCCTGGGACTGGGATCAGCCGAGCTATCATATTCCCCCCTAGATCTGTCATCATCATAACCCTGGCGACTAGAGGGTCTGTACCTGTCTCGATCTCTGTCATAGTCATCGTATGGACGACCGTATCTGTCATAGCGTGATTTTCTACGATCCCTGTCCTCCTCCCTGTCTCTATCTCCTGGTCTAACTCTGTCTCTGTCGTCTGTCTGTAGTCTGTCGTCATCTCTTCTATAGTTCCTCTCATCTGGTCGGTCATCTCTCCTGCTCCGGTCACCACCCGTATCTTCACTGGACCTCTGATCTCGACTGCCTCTCTGGCGATCTTCTACTGGACGTTTTGGCGTCTCTTGGATTTCATCTTTGGCGTTTTCTTTTCCTGAAATGGACATGCCATCTGTCTTTTGGCTCAGGTTTTGATTCACGTGTTGCTGAGGAGGAGGAGGAGGAGGTTGAGAAGGAGGAAGAGGCTGGTTGGCACTGGGGGTATTGACTGGATTTTGTTTTGGCTGACTTGGCGTTGGTTTACTAACTGGGGTCGGTTTGGCAGTTTCTCCCCCTGGGGCAGCTGTAATCTTACTGACCTCAACGTCTTCAGACTTCAGAGAGGAGGTATCACTGAAATTATCATTTTGATGAGGGACTATCCCCAAATGACTTTCAGCTGGTAAAGTTGGCTGCACTCCTGCAGGCCCAGCTGGTTTAACTGGAGTCCGATCCACTGTCATCGGACTTATAGTTGAGGCTGCTGGAGCCAAAAGTATATTATTAGCAACCAGAGACAGTGGAGCTGGATTTTCCCAAAGAGTTGTCGCAGGAGACATGTTGTGATGGTCTCGTAGTCTCTGTGTTGATAACCTACGCTGGGGACTCCCAGGGGGAGGGGCATCTGCGCTCCTGAGGTCCGCCTGGGCCACAGACACAGGATGACCAGACTTGGAATGTTCAGAAACCTCTGGCTTACCAGCAGCGGTATCTGTGTGCTGTTGTGCCTCCGGGTGCGGGAGGATCTTGGGCGCCCTCAGCGGGGGTTGGAATGGGCTCTCCTTTCTTGGTGTAATCGTGCTGGCAAATATATCCATATGGACCTCAGGGGAGGTGCCGCCATCTCCACTGCCAACACTGGGTTGATGCGACTGTGTTGTCTCCACTGGTGGTACTGGTGCATTCATAGGGCTTTTCCTGTAAGGATTCTCTCCCCCTTTGCCCACCATAGGAGGAGGAGGGGGCAGTGGGCTACTAAGGTCTACCCCAGGACTGTGTACATTATCTTTGGCAGGGTTCACAGTTTCTGTATTCTGACCAGTGGTGGTAGAAATAGAGGCAGCCTCTCCATGACTGTGGAGCAGTCTATCTCCACTCTGTGCACTGGCATTAGAATGAACAGATTGAGAGGATGGAGGTCTTCCATGCTGCTGGTGGTCTGAAGGTGGTCTGTCTTGGACTGGTGCACCACTGCCCTCTGGTGGTGGTTGTTGTTGGATGTGCTGAGGGTGGGAATGTACCTGAGCATTCTGCTGTTGCTGTTCCGGGTGAACGTCCGGAGGAGCAGGGGACCCTGCGGCACTGTTGTGAGCCGAGGTGTCAGCAGAACCCCCCACAACAAAAAGTGGCTTGTTAAAAGAGCTCTCCGTACTGTGACCTGGTGCAACCTTCACTTCCATTTGACCTCCGACCTGACCTTCACCCTGCTGATGACCTTGCCCTTGAACCAGGTCATCAAAGGGGGAGTGTGATTGCATATCGGGGTTACTGAAGTGAGCATGAGGGTTAAAGACCTGTGCACCAGCAGGATCACCTCTGTGCTCCCCTAGGGTATCCTGAATGGATAAAGTGGCCACTTGCTCCCTTAGCTTTTCTCTATCATCCCTATCATACTCAGAATTCTGACGGGAGAAGTTCACTGTCACGAGACTAGAATCACTTATGTTTGATAAATTCCTCACCAAACCAGTCTGTCCTCCTGGTGCAAGGTACTGATTTTTGACAGATGGATCACCACCAGAAACATCTGATGTAACAGGTATTTCCTCTTTATCTTTCACAGGTTGCGAATTGTCATGATCAGGCACCTGATCAATACCATCGACATTTAAACTTGGAAACTGTTCATAATCAGTGTTGCTATGGTAACCTTCCTGTTGTTCCTTCTGCTCCCCTGTGTCCTCCTGATTAACATGCTGCCCTGTGTTCTGTGACACATGTCCATCTACATGTTGCCCTTGGTCACTGGAGTAAAACTGACCAGACTGGACGTGGTTGGTCAGTTGTTCCCCATCCTGCTGAGACCGATCCTGTGTCCACCCACCATTTCCTTGGGTATTCCATTCATCATTCCCATGGGCATTCCACTCATTCCCCTGGGTATTCCATTCATTCCCCTGGGTATTACTATTCCATTCCTCATTCCCCTGGGTATTCCACTGGTCATTTCCCTGAGTGGCCCACTCGTCCCCTGGTTCGAGATTCTGCCAATCCCCCTGGGTTCCCCCATAGCCACTGCCATCCCCACCATTCCAGCCATACTGCCCCGGTGGCTGGCTCCACTGATTCCAGGAGTCTGTACCCCAGCTCTGCTGTCCCCAGTTGTTATCATAGCCCCCATTCATAATATATGGGGCTGCCATGTTTGCAGGGTCCATGGGGGAAAAACCAGTGCTGTTAAAGCTCGCTGCATTGGGGTTGAGTTGAAACCCATCTGTGGCTGGGTATTGTGGTTGTTGTTGGTTGTTTTCATTGTGTTGTTGTTGCTGCTGCTGTTGAGGTTGTTGTTGTTGTGATGGTGGCTGTTGATGAATACTGTCAAACTGGGCTGGGTTGAACATCTGCACCTTGCCACTGGCAGTGGGATCAAACCCAGGTACCTGCCACGGCTGTGTTTGACTCATCTTGGACAAACCTGTAACATAAACAAAACACTAAGTCAAACAGTTTTCAACTTACCCTGTTATCTCTGAAAGGGCAAGGTAGATGCAGGTGATGTTTGTACATAAAAATGCCCTGACATAAATTAAACTTGTAATTTTTGAAATCAACCAACAATGAATTGATGGTGTATCCTTAACAGTGTCAAATGAACAAATTCAATGAAACCCGAATTTGCTGAATACTTTCACTCCTACTTCATGGCTTCTAGCAAACTACCACCATTCTCCATTTCAATCAGACATAAATTTTGTACAGAAAAGAGGTTATGATGGGTTTTCTTCAATATTAAGTAAATTAATGATTCACTGTCAAAAAAAAAAAAAAGAACCTGTCCTGTACACGTCATGAAATCTGGTCAAAATAATTTGAAACTGTTATTGCATAGACACAATTTTTTTTCATATAATTATTTGACAACTTTTAAAACTTAATCATAAAAGCTTTTTTGACACACAACAATTTACAATTAATAACAGCTTTATAAACTTGTCAGCAACTCAATCTTCAGGTAAAAAACAAGACTTAGCAATAATAAGCACACTATTTAAAGTCATAAAAGATTCAACAATTTCACTATCACTTTTAACAGATAAATGTGTGAAATGCTGTCAAAAATTCAACCTTCCACTTACTCACCTCTAAGTAGGCTTATTACACTTTACTCAATATTGTATTTTCTTCTATCTGCACAGGCTGCAAAGTGTTCTTGATAGTACCTAGTAATAAAATATTTGTTATCACTTATAAGTAATTGGTGGGCCTGATTCATGTTTTGACCATTTTCAAATTAAATTTCCCTCCTTTTCCAGATTGCTGTAAATAAACATCTCATCTGTACGACAAGTTACACATCAGTTAAGTGACTATCACTGCATAAGGTTTTCTAACTTAGTCTGTATTTGAATATCTCAGTCTTTTTGGAATCGTAATAACATACTTAAATGCACCTGTATTTAACCCCAGGCTTATCACGCAAGAGATCACACATAGAACGCAGACCTATATTTATCGTAATGTACCTGACATGTAAAACAGTTACTTCCATATTTAACGTTCATAACGTAAAAAGAAAACCCAGTCTCACCAAAGACTAGTATCTGGTTGAACTGTATCGATTCAGCATAAATATTCAAATTCAACAAAGTCAATTTAAAGACAGTTCTCAGTTTGATATCAAAATATTTATAAAAGCCAATGTCATTATGTGAGAAAACTGAAGGAAGTCAATACACAGCTGTTTGATTCAATAAGAATTATGTCTTAATTTCCACGTAATCACATTAGGTTTCCTAAAGTGTGGCTGTTACATCGAGCTATTCTACCTACCTTGGGTTAACAATGTCTCCTTTTATTCTCAAACACCTATTCTTTGTGAAAAAGAGCCGAATATGCCCCTGTCACGGAACCATCTGTAAGGTCGGCCATTTTAATGCCGAAGTCGATGCTACGTGTTTTCGGTAATCGTTTTTATTGACCTAGTTTTATTTAAGCAACTTTTAGCTAAGCATATATAATAATTAAAAGGCATATTTATAATATACCCCTGCACTTATAAAATAGATGCACTAAATAACAATAAATCAAGAAAATTTTGATCAAAACTTACTTACGAACTTTGCCGAATATACCGGAAGTATGAAGTAGGTCATAGTTCCTGTCTTGCGTACATTTGGCCACGTCAGTGTTATTGAATTAACTGTGTCACTGTGAGAGACCAGATTTAATCAAATTTCAGATAAAAGTAGCATCAAATAAGCACATACACAAAATGGTGTTGATGACACTAATCGCACGTCTAGTGGACGGGCTACCTTTAGCGGCGTCAATGCAAGAAGACGAACAGGTAAGCGTGGACATTTCACGAGTTCAAACTTCAAGTTCCACGTTGGCCAGTTTCTTCGGTTGACGTTATCGTAAACTCCAAGTTAAAGATCATGCTTGCGTGATAAACTCGGCGTTCATATGAACGCACATTTATCACTTGGAAAAAGGCAGAGTAATGGTGAGTTTTAGTGTCAACGATTTTTGAAAATTTATTAGAGTTTCTCACACAAATTGACTCTTGACTTTCCAACTTGAAATTAAGATACCAAATCATTATGATTAGATAGATTAACATGCAAAAGCTGACAGTCCAGTCTGATAATTCTATACACCAGAATGTTTAAGTTATGGTGATAACAGATATTATTTAAACATACCACTAGCAACTAAATTACTGGTAAGGACTCATAAATGATAACGGGGGTGCATATGGTATATGATGCCAATGGGAACAGACAGTTTGGAAAATTATAAGGCGGAAATGAGTACTTGGGGGAAAAAAGTCCCATAGGAAAAGGCACTGATTAAACCTTATCCATGGGAAATGATAGATTGCAAGCCCCCCCCCCCCCCTTGCCCTTTTTTTGCAATGGTCAAATTGGAACAGCTAATTTGGTACCAGTAAATTATATCATCTGGAATGGGAACATCCTCACAGTATTATGTTCATTTTGCATGCATTACTGAAATCATTGATTTCAACAGTTGATGGTAGCCAAGGCTACATTATTAGAAGTTAACCAAAAAAATGAAGAATCACAAGTAGAACAGATGTACTAGTAACTTAAATGTTAGAGTTCCCCACCTCAACCAAATTAACAATAAGAATCACATTAATAATTAAACTTTTTCATATTCTTTGAACTATCATAATTATAATAAAACACTGCAAAAACATTTTAGTGAATGTTATTTTTTGATTTGATTTTCCCAATTTTCTTTCAGTCTGGTCGAGGGTTGATGGAGTATCAAAATAAAGCCAAACAGTTGTTTAAGAAACTCAACGAACAATCCCCAGTCAGATGTAGCTTGGAGGCTGGTGCTTATGTTTTCCAGTAAGTAGGCGTCTGTGTGTTTGTATGTGCATGTGTGTGTGTGCATGTGTTTTGAGTGTGTATGTTCATATGCATGTGTGTGTGTGTGTGTGTGCATGGGTGTGGCAAATGAGTTTGCCTACCAGCTGTTAACACAACATTGTGTACATGCAACTAAATGTACATAGACACAATACTTTACAAACTGTCACATGTAAACATCTACAATAACATATGAACATTCTGTGAATAATTATTGTTTCCATGTCCAGTCTCTAGTTTACTGTTACTAATAATCATTTAAATTACTTAAAAAGATATTTAACAAATTCTGCATTAAATTTTAGGTGGATGTACTGCACATATCAGAACAGTGAAGATCTTTTCTTTTTTTCAGCTACCTGATTGAGAGAGGGGTGTGTTACCTTGTCCTGTGTGAACAATCATTTTCCAAAAGACTAGCATACACATACCTAGAAGATTTACAAACAGAATTTAATATGCAATATGGGACAAAAATACAAACAGTATCCAGGCCATACAGTTTTATTGAATTTGGTAGGTCTAGTCGAGTTATCCAACTTTCAGATGAAAATGAACAGAATGTTTTATTTCATGAACTGGACTGTTGGGATGGCCATTTATATTATAGTTTTCAAAGTAGGAAAGATGTTAATGATTTGGTCATTTTTTTTTTTTAATAAAAGAGAACGCTGCATAGATATATCTTTGCTACTGGAATACATTTAATTAATTAGTAATGCATTTTTGTTTGAGCATTTATTTGTAGAATATTATGACAAATGAAAGGTGAAATAAATTGTCTTTTGTTTAAAAAAATGAAGGAACAGTAATTGTGAAAAAAAATGAAAAAGTGATAATTCATTTCACCTTATGTAGGTAACATGTGGCATTATTTTTGTGAGCATCTACCTTTTTTCATTTCTTGAATATAACATTTATAATTTTATAATAGAATCGTTTCCTTTCTTTCTCAGATACATATATTCAAAAGGCCAAAAAATCATACATGGACTCCAGAGCTAGAAGAAACCTTGGTCATATCAACACAGAACTACAAGATGTCCAAAGAATCATGGTGCAAAACATTGATGATGTATTACAAAGAGGGGAAGCATTATCAGGTTAGTAATGTCTGGTGTAGGAATGGGTGAAAGTGATGGGGATTACATTGTAGAATTATATACAAGTGCTGAGGGGAAACTTAGTTTTGAGCATTAATAAGGAAAAGGTGCAAAGATCCAGTCCTTTGAAATATAATGCAGACATGGGGAAACTGCCAGACAGACTGGTCCTGACCACCAGAAAAGCCTGAGGATGGTAAGATTTAGGATGTTGCCAGTCCTCTGGACCGGCAAAGTTTATGTGAAACACAATACATAAAAATAAATAATATGTTATTTTCCACTAATGGGAATTAAAACCAGAATAAAAATTCTCAGTCTCAGAGAAACATTTGCTTATTATTACATTATATAACAATATTTCATTTCATTTCAGCATTGGACACCAAAGCAGCCAATCTTTCCACACTGTCACAAAAGTACAAGAAAGACGCCCACTACTTGAACCTCAAGTCCTCATATGCTAAGATAGGAGCAGTTATTGTTATTGTCATAATAATCCTGCTGATTCTTAGATACTGGGTGTTCTAGAACTGATCTTCAGGTATAGACATGATGTTCAAATTCTTTCAAGAGCGTGCTGCAAATAGATTGTGGACAATGGGGGCTTGCATATTGGTCAAAATTCACAGTGAGTCATCTGATGACCAAGACTTTTCCGTTGGTAAAAAAAAAAACGCATTTCTTCGAGTTTTTTGATGCTTACAGATGACAATAAATCTGGCGTTGGATGGTCACCGCTTGGTGAGATTACCAAGACCCAGGCATTTGTGTCCAAGTGTTTGTCATTATTGCTACTTATATAGAATGCTCTGTATGTGAAGCATGTGGATAGTGCTGTTAAAATAAGTGTGCATTTCCATGGAGCTTCACATTTTCACATTGCATCTTCACATTTGTGTTCCCCCATTCTTGAATAGTTGTTCCATGCTGCAAAGTATTGACGCATTCAAGTATTTAATTAAAGTGACTGTTTCTTATCATATGTTTCAGTGATAGTTGACCATTCCAAGCTAAGGTGTGCCAATATTAATAATGGCTGTAACAAATAGCATGTATGAAACAATTTCAGTATCTTTCATTTGCTTAAATTGTCATGTTCTGTAGCAGTGTTGCTGAAATAAGATGTCCATCCCACCTTGCATATGGATAACATAAGCCCATTAAGATACGAGATTGAGGTTAATAAAAGTGGGCAACTGCTAAGATTTATTGTTTATTAGCACACATAGGGTCTCAAAAGTCAAGAAATTTCTTTATGCTAGAATATGCAGTCTAGAAGTAAAGCCTCGGCAGTTATAAAACTATGTGGACCCAAGCATTGCAAAATTGTAAAGATTGCAAGCCAATTTTTTGTATATATGTACAAAATAAAATATTACAAGATACCCAGTTAGTTTTTTTTTTTTTTTTTTTTTTTTAATAAAAATACAAACTTCTTCATTTTCAAATATGGCTCAGATACAACTTTTTTAATGTTGATTTCAATTTTAATTTTATGTTCTATTACTGAGCTCATCAAATATTACAAGTGTGTGAAATGGCATAATTTTACAATAAACTAATAAGAACTTCTCCAAATTGCATTAACCAGCTGAAGAGGCACAAAGCACTGTATCTAGGGGTAAAACATTTTACCTCACGACTGAAGTGGCTGGTATATCAAAATATTAATATTCTTTTATCATTAAAGCAGATGAAAAAATATCAAATTTATATTGCAAAATCACAGCATACAAAATATGAAATTGGCTCAGTTTCCTACTGTAATTAAAATTGAAAGAAAAACACAGTCTGGGCATTCAGTCAAAGTCCACATGTTAACCGTGCCAATAACATGAGTAAAACCCTCGTTTCATTAAGTCACTTCCTAATATCCAGTGTCTGTAACTGATATTGAAATTGATAATTTGTGATTTTGAGGCATCTGTCTACTGGCTAATACAGTGTAGTTGACATCAAACAAAATTTGGTCAGGTAGCATCAACAGTCTTGCAATGTTTTAATAACACTGCCTTCAACTGTGCAAGATTGGCAGAAGTTTTCACTGCAGTTGGATCGAAATGGGTTCGACTGGCACAATATCCCTCTGACTGGAGGAATTGGACTAGTTTGGGGGCTCTGAAAGAAAGAAAAAGGTAATTGTATTATTACACAAACACACTGGAGCTGAACATATCTTAGTACCTTATAATAACAGCAAAGATGGCAATAAAATTTTTATCATTTTAAAAAAGAAACTACATTTCTAATATCTAAACCAGCTAAAATTCAACTGTATAACTGACTGTCCACCAAATTTAAGAAATCAATTTTCGAAATTAAATTCTCAAAGCAATTATGACCATTTCTACATATCCAAGTAACTCCTTTCACGGTAATGTGCCAAGCATTTCGACGGGCCCAGTCAATCCGACCAAAAAAATTATATTATAAAATTAATTTTTCTGGGCTCAAACATTTAGTCCATACGTGAAAATCATGCGACAGAATTTATTTCTTGTTCCGATTGTTCGACCACATCGTCGGCAAGACTCGGTAAATTTTCAAGCCAGTCATATAGATGCTGCATGCCGGGCCCTTTGTCAATTGTTGTCCTTTCAATAGCTCTCGTCAATGAGGAAGAAACTATTAATTGAAGATCTAATCTGGAAGCATGACGTACCTGTCATTTCCTTTGTCCCCGATGACAAAATAGTGTTATAGACATACAATTTGTGCTAATTAAGCAGACTTGCCCTCGCTGACTGATTCATCACGCCCGTAACTGGGGAAGGGGGGGGGGTTAAAAAAGGTCCATTCTGGATGAAACCAAATATCGACA